TGACCTCAAACACCCATTCTTTACGGAGATAATTACCTCCCTGGGTCAGACCGAAGGTGGGAAAGATACAGACAAAGAATGACTGAGATCAAACACAAGACGAATTCACACAGCTGACAACGTGCACGATCCTCTGGTCTCCTGAAGGCTTCAGAGTTCTCTTTCGGCTCTCCTTTGTGTTTCCTCACTTGATCTTCATAACTACTCACGAGGCAAGAAGAGTAAGGATTATTTTCTTTCTTTGATAGTTACGGAAACAAGCCCATGGAGGCGAAGTGTCACTCCGGATCACAGGACTGGAAGGCAGAGCCAAAGAGAACTCTGAGGCCTTCAGAAGACCAGAGGATTGTGCACACTGTCAGCCATGTGAACTCATCTTGTACGTGATTTTAGTCCGAGGTCAGTTCAGTCCTCCCACAGACCCCCAGATTCTTCCCTTGACCAGCACCAGACCCAAAAGTCCGTGCAATGGGCCCCAAATGGAAGTAATGGAAGGCCCTCCCCCGCTCAACTCTTCCCATAGGCCTCTAATGGTTGCTTGGCAACCCTCACCGGGCAGTAAATGGCCTCTAGTCAGGTCTGTTGCTGTGGAGTTACCAAGTCTCTCTCCCTTCACACTTGTGCATGCTTCCACTCTCTATTAACGAGACTGCTCCCCTACCCCCACATCCCAAGTCTTCTCACATCCACAGACGGGGGCTCTCAGGGACCTATGTAGCCAGGACCCCGAACAAAGCACTACCAATACCTTCATCATCCAACATCCTCCAGAGATGATAGAAACTTCTTTTGTGAATGGTCCTGCTCAGCAATGCTCATAACCTCCTCTTATTCCCTCTCTACCTTCCACTCTGACAATGGCTTTCTGAAATCCCCTAAGAGATCAAATTGGCTGGAGAAATTTAATTGAACATTTCAGACCACGCTAGTTCTGTTTCAGCACTCCTGGAACCACAGGAGGAAAGCCTGGGAGGGGACCCAGTCAGACTTTGCATATGGATCAGGAGCAAGGAAAAAGGAACCTAACATTTATTGTGTTCCTGATATGTGCCAGGCATAATACTATGTTATCCCATGTAGCCCCCATCGACAAACCTGTGAGCCTTTTATAGCTGAAGATATTATTTATTCATGGAAATTAAGTAACTTACTAGAGCTCACACAGCTTTAAAAAAATCACAGAACCTTTGTTTATAGAAGCAAATATGTGTAAGTAGATATATATCTACCTAGATATCTAGAGGAGATATGTGTTCCTCCTTCTTCCTAAACAATTAATTGATCATCAAATTCTATAAATTATAGTTCTAAATCTCTCTCCTATTTCCATCTCTTAGGTCATCTTGACACTGTCTAGTATACATCCCAAATGGCTGTGTTCTCCCAAAATTCATACATTTGAAGCTCTAACCCCCAATTTGGCTCTATTTGGAGACGGGGATTCTAAGTTAGTGATTAAGGTTAATTGAGGCCATAAGGGTGGGGTCCTGATCTGATAGGATTAGTGTCCTTATACGAAGAGACACCAGAGAGCCCCCTCACTCTCCATAAGCACCAAAGAAGGGCCATGTGAGCACACAGCTAGAAGGCAGCCACCTGCAACCCAAGGGGAGAGCTCTCGCCAGGTATCATCCTGGCTGGCACCCTGTTCTTAGACTTCCAGTCTCTACAACTGTGAGAAAATAAATTTCTGTTGTTTAAGCTACTCAGTCTGTGCTATTTTGTTACTGCAGCCTGAGCAGGCCCTTATAACTTACCCAAACCACTGGTTTCTTTGCTTCCATCTGTCCTCCAAACTAAAGCAAGGGATTATTCTAAGATGCAAATCTGACCTTATTAAAACCCTTCTATGGCTCCCCACTGTCTGGTAATGGTCTCTAAATTTAAACCCCTGTAAGTAAGGCCATGTGAGCATATACCCACAATATTCGTATATTTACTTAGATTGTATGTACATATATATTTACTTCTGTAACAAAAGATGTTAAAATACATTAAAATTACATGATGAATATTTAAATGTTTACATTTTAATGTATTTATGAACAGTACAGACTTTTTTTTGCTATAGGAAACATATGCACACATGCACAAAATCTCTTTGCTCATTTTTTTTTGCAAAAGCTATATGATTGACTATGTCAGATCTAATCTGATCATCATTGATTTTACCTCAAAACATGTTTGACAATGAACTTGTGCTGGGAGTCAGAGAAACATCAGTTCAGCCATTTTCCATGCCTAGTTGGGCTCACTACACTGAGTATAGTCTTCAGGCAGAGATTTCTTTGCAGGACACTTTTAAAATTACATATCCATCGTGAAGGCTTATTTAGTGAAAATTAGGTAGTATAATCAATAAAGTCACTGCAAAAGCTCACAATGCTCTGAACATAAAGAAAGGAGTGAGGGAGTCACCACTGCCAGTCCTTTAGGGCAAACTGTCCTCTCTCACTTGAAGACTTTTTGAGTTCAGGATATGTGACCATGTGATGTGGAGATCAAATGAAGACATCTATGTCAATCCATATTGGAAATACTGGTAAGCATGCATTTTATGTTCATAGATAAAAATAAACTCTAATAGTTTCTTTAGCTCTGTAAACAATCATCAGGTAGGTAAACTCTGGCCCATGACAAGAAACTTCCGTATGCTGTGCAAGGTCTCCCCGACCCTCCAGCCCTTGCCTGATAGCCTATCTAGCAAATTTCTCTCTCAGCACCCTTCCCGGCTCCTCACAGCCTTGCTCCAGTTCCCCTGTATTCTCACCATGCCCCGATTTTCTGTGCTCTTACCTCTCTGTGTGTTGGCTGTGAAAAGGATGTCAGATAACACAAGAGGAAGCACCCGGCACATAACAGGTACTTAATAGATGTTTATTGATTCTCACCACGAGATGGGTGAACCAAATGGTAGTTAAACCAAAGTGGTTCTTCAATTTTAGCCTGCCTCCAAACCACCTGGAAGGCTTGTTATAACACACATTGTTGGGCCATCACTCAGAGTTTCTCATCTGAGGAGGGGCATGAGAATTTGCATTTTTAAGAGATTTTATTTATTTATTCATGAGAGACACACAGAGAAAGGCAGAGACATAGGAAGAGGGAGAAGCAGGCTACATTCAGGGAGCCCGACACGGAACTCGATCCCAGAACTCCAGGATCATGCCCTGAGCCAAAGGCAGATGCTCAACCAATGAGCCACCCAGGCATCCCAAGAGGATTTGCATTTCTTTCTTTTTTTTTTTTTAAAGATTTATTTATTTATTCATTCAGAGAGAGCGAAGAGAGAGGCAGAGACACAGGCAGAGGGAGAAGCAGGCTCCACGCCGGAAGCCCAATGCTGGACTCGATCCTAGGTCCCCAGGATCACACCCCGGGCTGCAGGCGGCGCTAAACCGCTGGGCCACTGGAGCTGCCCAGGATTTGCATTTCTAACAAATTCCCAGGTAATGCTGATGATGCTGACTTGGAGACCACACTTCTAGAACCAATGAACTAAGTAGTTTGTTTAGCTTCTCACATTTCTAGTAACTCATAATTCCTCAATACTTTTAATAGAGACTAAATGAACAAAATAAACTTTTATCTCTATATAAATTAACACTTAACTTGATCATAAGCAGAAATATGGGCTCTGTAAAACCTAACACACAGTGTAGAGAAAAGAGCACAAAGCTTGGAATCAGAAGGTCTGAGCAGGAATCCCACTTGCAACTGTGTGGTTGACCTAAGGCAAGTTAATTACCAAGTCGGAATTTTTTTCTTCTGTAAAATAGGACTGAATTAAAATAATATCTGACCCGTGGGGTTAATTGTAAGATAATAATATATGGAGAAAATTTACAAAATGAAAAGTATTGTATACAGCTAATAAGATATATGCACAATGTATTAATGTACACTTAGGTTGAATGGAGAGATAATAAATAACACATGCTTTGAATACTTTAAATCACTAATTTCCAAAATTTCCAATCCTAGAACTAGTTTATTATTGATAAGTATATGATCTACATTTTGCTACATCATCTCAAATATGTATATATTTTATTAGTACCACAGTAAATACCAACAATAGTAGCTGTGGTGGCCAGCTTCTAAGATGGTCCCCAATGATCCTCACCTCCCAGGATTCATACCCTTGTGTACTTTCCTCCTACACTAAATCAGTGAACAATAGACTACTCTAAGGCTAAGTAATAAGAGACATTGCCACTTTTTCTCTGGTTTCTTGGATCTCTCCCCCTGGGAGACGCCATGAAGATACTTAACTCCATGGAGAGAACCACATGGAACTAAATCTTCCTGCTAACAGCCAATACCTCACACATTAGTAAGCCACTTTGGAATGGGATCCTCCAGCCTCATTGTAACCTTCAGTTGACAGCAACCCAAGCCAATATCTGGCTGCAACCTCATACGAAGCCATAAGACAGAAACCAAGCCACTCCCAAATGTTTGATCTACAGAAACTGTGTAATAATGAATTATTGTTGTTTTAAGCCATCAAGTTTTGAAGTGATTTATTATCCAGTGATGGATTATGGACACAGGAACTAACATTTACTGTGCATTTATCACATTCCAGGAACTATGCTAGGAACCAACAGCCCTATGCTGTAGATGATATTATAATCCCCAAAGGAAAGGGTAACCTAGAGAGATTAAATAATTTAGTCAAGATTCCAAGATTAATAAGTGGCAGAACTGGAAATCGAATCCAAATTTCTACCTCCAAAGCTCAGATTCTTGGCCACTCATTTGTATGAGCAGGATATAGGCTCTTAGACAGTTAAGCAGTAGAAGCAATCGAGCCCCCCAGAGGGGAGAAACGTCTACAAGATCAGCAAGGGGCAGTTCAGGGGCTGGACCTTCAACAGCTCTAGTGCTTGATGCCATAAGACCCAGGAATTCCAAACTTGCCCCACCTCCCACTCCTCACACCAGCAGACTAGTCGCCCTCCAAGATAATCCCATACAAGATGCCCAGGACTCACCCAGATCTGCAGCTTCACTCGCTTCTCATGGCGGTAGACAGTCTTCACCTTGAAGTCAATCCCTACAGTGCTGACAAAGGCTGGGGTAAAGGTGTCATCGGCATAGCGGAAGAGGAAGGAGGTTTTGCCAACACTGCTGTTGCCAATGATGAGCAGTTTGAACATGTAGTCAAAATTCTGGTCAGAAGCATCTTTGACTCCAGCTTTACTATCAGTCACTGAAGCCATCTGTAGGAGAGACCCATGGTCACTCAGGAACACACCAATCCTTAACGGCCACTCCACCATTCACACACATACTCTCCACCCGAGCATCACTGAAGAAACACAAACAGCACAGAATCGCTCCAGTACTGCACCTGCCTCTAAATGTTGTCTCAGGATTGGGGTGGAACCTGGTTCCTCCCATTCATCCCTTCTGCAAATATTTATTGAGCATGTTGCTCTGGGTCAAGCCCTGTGCTTGGTAAAGGGACTACAGATATGAATCAGACATGGTGTATGACCTCTGAGTGGTCACAGATCAGAGTAAAAAAGCACGTAAACACAGGGTAACAAGGCAGTAGATAAGTCGTAAGACAGAGGGAAGCCTTGTCCAAGGAAGCTCACAAGAAACATCTAACATCTAACCCAACTTGAAGGCGTGATGGTCAAGGAGAGTCTCTAGTAGGAAGCAGCTTCTGAGCTGAGTTTTGCAAACCAAAAGCCAAAATAGTAAACACATGAATATCCCAGGGAAGGCTCACCACAGGGCATTCATTCCCCTTTGAAAAGCGTTCATAATTCCTCATAGCTCTACGACTGAGCCCAAACTGTTGAACTTGACCAAGAACCAACTAACCAAAGAATAACCTCTGTAAACTTTATCTTCCCCCTAAGCCTTGTCCCTACCGACCTGTGCCACTTTTATATCAAATTACACTTTAAATATGCCATTTTATTTCTTGCTTTGCCCTTCAGACATGTATTCTTTGTTTACAACACTCTTATAATAAAATCCTGTTCATCCTTATAGATGCAAATGAAGACTCACCTTCCCCACTCATGCAGAGGCCTCTGTGTCCCCAGAGCACACTCACAGCACTGCTATCATTTCAAAACTGTTGGAATGGGATCCTCAGCTCCTCCTTTAGACCAAGCATCCTCCTCTTCCTTTAGACCAAGCATCTTGTACTTCATGTACTTCATCCTGCATCTCTAGCCTCTAGCACAAGTCCTAGTACATAATCTGCACTCAGTAAGTGTGTGCTGGATTAATAAAAGTTACGTCATCCCTCTGGGATTTAATCTCACCATCTAGAAAATGGAGAGGACAATTTCTGCCCTTCTTTCCTTACAGGGCTTTTACAGGACTCAAATGAGATGACAATAAGTAAGACCTTAATAAACTGGTAAATCCCACACAGCTATGAACATAAGTCATTATTATTCCAAATCCTTTAAAGCCTTGATCCTTTATTTATTTGTTTGCTCACTCATCTATTCTTCAAGTATTTGTTTATGTGCCAGGGCTTCCCTGAGATCCCTGCTCTCTCAAATCTGCCACCACCTCTTTTCCTAGAACACTTTGGATCTGAACCCTATAATCCAGCACTCAGTCCCATAGTCCTGTTGGTGTAGCAAGCACCCTACTTCTCTACCTGCAATCTCCCTTATGTTCTGCAGTGGTTTGTTAGACAGGCTGTGTAAGTGATCAGAGGAGGGTGGGAGGACAGCCCTCCCGTGAGATAATGTCCAGGGTATCATGCTTTTCAGAAATTCCTGTTTTTGTTTCTCAAAGGAAAAGAAAGAGATTTTGACTGGTGGATTTATCTCTGTGAGCCTCTCAGGTGAGCTGTAAGGACAAGGAACTGGCAAATGTAGAAAGTTTAAAGCTTTCTTGAAGAAAGGTAAGACAAGTAAGTGGGGTTATTAAAAGCCCTTTAATATGCCACCACTAGCCTCCAGTGGTCCCTGTTCTCCCTTCTCTTTTCTCTCAGCTCTCAAGCCTTTATCTGAGCCCCTGAGCCCCATTCCTTTATCAATCTGCCCCATGACAACGCTCATCAGTGGGTGTGGAACATGCCCAGGACACTTGGACACTTACAACATTTACATGGAAGAAGAAGGTGAGATTGGAGAAGAGGGTGCCATTGCTTGCTTAAACTGTCTTATAGACCTAACTTTTCAACTTTTCATGATACAAGATGCAGAGCCTGTTTCAAGAATTGGCAATTCAAAGGAATTAGCCTTTTTCCTACTTAAAACTAGAGAAGCAACCACAACAACCTCACACCATCCTCCACTCTGCTGCCAGTCGTTTTTGTTTGTTCACGAGAAATTTCTGCTTTGAAAGTATTCATTATAAAAAAATTAGAAAAGAACACAAGACACCCCATCCACTCAGAAACTACCACTATTAACATTTAAATGTATTCCCTCCCTTATTTTCTTTTTCAAAAATTCTATTTAAATTCAATAAACATATAATGCTCTCCCTTATTTTCTCATGTAACAAATTACCATCTGTTTTTAAATTATATTTTATTATTTTTTCATTTAAAAAGTAACACATACATTGAAAAAAATTCTAATTTCTACTATTTGCAAACATGATCATATCACCATCTGTAGTTGGCATTATTTTCTTAATTTTTACCATAAACAATAAGTAATATGTAACCTAAGGTTTATAGTGAAGAGTTAGTTGAGCTTCCACCCCTGATCCCAGCCTCTCCTCTCCCCAGAAGCAAACATGTTACCAATTTATGCATCCTTCAGGGTTAGTCTTTGCATATATGAATATAGAGATCTGTTTATACTTTTTATCTATATATAAATGATAGCTTACCATATATCCTTGTCTGTATCTTCTATGTATATTTTAGTAGCTGAGATCATACTTTCCATTAGTTGTGTATCCTGCTCCTTTTCACTTAACATTATATCACAAATATTTTTCTGAGACTTGTACAGCACTTCATAAACATCATTTCAATTGACTACATTGTATTCCATCCTATGGATATGTCATAGGACCAATTTCTAATATTGCACCTTTATTTTTAATTATTATAAATTAAATCAGAGTGGTTCATGTCTTTAGATAAATATTTGCTCAGTTTCTTATTTATTTCCTTAAAAACAAACTCTAGAAATGGAACTGTTGGTCAAAGAATACCATGCCTGAAACACAGATTTGATCCTTACCTCATTTCAGGTCCTCTATCTCATTTTATCCTCTAAGCCTGGGAGACAAAATTAGATGGACAGACACTATTATTCCCATTTAATCAAGATAGAAACTGAGGACCAGAAATTAAGGATTTGCTCAAGCTTGACAGCCAACAGAAGAGACTAGACCTAGTACCGTGTATCGTTATAGGGAAGTTCAAAATCCCTGCTCTGTTCTTCAGCTGAATTTTTGGGCAAGTTGTATCACCTCTCTAAGTCACAGCATTTTTACTTTAAAATATAGAAAATACCACCTACTTCACAGAGTCATGGTACAAAGAGAATGAGAAGTTACCATATGTAATTAATCTAGCATGGTTTCTGAGCCCATGAGAAGTACTCAATAAATATTATTTCACTGGCCCCTTTAAGTCACTTCTGTAGCCAACTCTTGTTCAACTGTTCTCTCCCTAATCTGGACTACGTTACTGGAGCTTTACAATTAGCCACCTGCCTCCTCTTCTGGATTCATCTGGGTTTTGTCCATCCTTACACTCTATCAACACTGGACCCATAGCAAATTTTTAGGGCATGTTACTCCTTTCGATAAACATTTATTGAACATTTGCCATATGCCAGACTATTGATGTAAATGTCATATTATTTGTCTTCATTTTTTCTAATGCAACTGTTTACACTCTTAGATTTTTGGAATAAGAAGGGATTTGGGGGCAGCCCGGGTGGCTCAGCAGTTTAGCGCTGCCTTCAGCCCAGGGCCTGATCCTGGACACCTGGGATCAAGTCCCACGTTGGGCTCCCTGCGTGGAGCCTGCTTCTCCCTCTGCCTGTGTCTCTGCCTCTCTCTCTCTCTCTCTCTCTCTCTCTCTCTCTCTGTGTGTCTCTCATGAATAAATAAATAAAATCTAAAAAAATAATAATAATTAAAAAAATTTTTTTAAAGAAGGGATTTGGGAGTGGCAGCTTTATCATAACAAAAAGCCTGGCTCCCAGTTTTCCCATAATTCAATGTATGAACTTGGGGCAAGTCACTTAAACTCTGAACCTCAATGTTCTCATCTATGATATGATATGAAAGAAAGCATAGCAGAAAGCTGCTATGAATTTAAAATAAGAGAATACATATAAATGTGCTTCATACACCATGTTGAGAAAAACACATGTGGCCTCCTGGAGAATCACCAGGAAAAGTGCCTGCTTTTATGAGGTATGTCTGCCACAGGAAGCGAGGCAAGAGTAGAAACTAGTTTGTTTTCTTTCTTCCTTTTTCTTTTTCTTTCTTTTTGATATTTTATTTATTTATTTGACAGAGAGGGAAAGAGAACACAAGCAGGGGGAGCAGCAGAAGGAGAGGGAGAAGCAGGCTCCCCTCCGAACAGGGAGCCCAATGTGGGGCTCGATCCCAGGACCCTGGGATCATGACCCAAGTTGTAGGCAGACACCTACACAACTGAGCCACCTAGGCACCCCTAAAAATTAGTTTCATTCAGTTCCTAATCTGATCCACTTCCCTTCATTTCCCAGGTTAAAAAAAATGAGGCTCCATAAAGACAAGTGATTTGTCCAAGGTTATACAGCAAATCAGTTGGAGTATTATGACTAGACCTTGTTATTTAATGACTCCCAGATTGGATTAGGCTCAGGGAAATTTAAAACTTCACATTTTTAGGGTGAGTAAAGAAGCATATCTAGCAACCTGAGCAGCTCTTTCCTAGCACTTGCTACCATACTGTCAACATCTGTTTATGGGCACACAGCATAGCTTTCCCAGTAGGTGGTGTGAGAATAGGGAGGGGCCGGAGGGCAGAGAGGTTCGGTTGAAAGGTACATTCCAAGGGAATCTTTTCGGAAGGTGGCAGGGGCTACAGACATTTGGAAGAGAGGCCAAAAGCAGCCCAGCAGGCAGCCGCCTGAGGCAGATATGAGTGCAGAATGTATTTATAAGATAAGCATCAATCCGATCTTCCCTGTCTTTTGTGGCAGTCACAGAAATGATAGAGCGGCGGAGCTCACTGTCTCCGTGACAAGCAATAAAGATGAAGGCCCAGGGACTATTTGGGAAGTCATCTCTGGTCCCAAGCTGGGGAAAAGAAGGAAATGGCCCCTCCAAAGACAAATAAGGCTTCCAGTCTGATAGGCAGCAGAAACAAGCACCTAAGGAAGAAGCTAACTCCAGAGAGGAAAGAGAGGAGAGAGCCCTACTCTCTAGTAAGAGGTCAACGCTTTACATTTAGTAAACAAGTGAATGAATGAACTCTTTTGATGGACAGAGCACAAGATTGAGTCTGAGACCTGGGCTGGGCCCAGCTCTCTCTCCCCAGTTGTGAAACCTTAGGCTGATCAGTTTCCTCATCTACACAATGAGTTAACAAAAGATTTCCTAGAAGAGTGCTGTAAGAATTATACTCTCCCAGTATATGGGAGAGTGCTTTATAAATCTCTTAACAATTTTTTTTGTCTGTCTGCTTCATGTTTTCTTCTACCATGTCATCCTGGGTAGTGGAAATAGCTTGGGGTTCCAAATCACACAAACTAGATCCAGCTTCCAGGTCTGTCATTTATTAGCTGTGAGACCTTGGTAAGAAATTTTACATGACTAAGACACAGTTTCCTATTTGTAAAACAAGCATTGTTGGGGAAATTATAGTCAATGTTGGTAAAGCATCTAGATAATACACGATATACAGCAGGTGCTCAATAAATGTACTCCATCTTCTCACTGGGAACATTTATTTAGGATAGGAAGAGGAGTTGGGCAAATGTGGACCTTATCATATTATAGATAAACTCCTCCCTAAAGCCATACTTGACTAACTTTTCTAATTCAACCTTTTTTTGGACATTCCCCAGGCCAGCACCACCAGCCCAGTGCAGCCCACCTCCTCACGGTTTCTTCCAGTCTCTTAGAGCCACAGAAACCGTATCATATTAGCTACCACTTATTGCCCACCTACTAACTGCCAGGCATGCTCAGTGCTTTCAGTGTATTCCATCTCACACAGAATGTAGGCACGCCTGCATAATACCAGTGGCCTCTCTCTTTTGTACACTGCTTTATAGTTTATGAGGCTCTTTTCACCCATGTTATCATATTTCATCCTTACAATAATTCAGGGATGGGGGATGAACAGGTCATTTGTTCCTGAATGAATCAACATTCACGGAGTACCTCCTGTGCATCACACCCTGTGCTGTACTCTGGGGAGATGGGGAGGAACTGTAAGGAGTTCCGAGCTCAGGGGGGAAATCTTTTAAAGCATCCTCTATATATAGGTTATTGGTATCTCTCTTCACATCATATTCCTTAAGAAACTGGAGATTTATTTATTGAACTGGAGATCATTTTAGAGTTTTGCCTTTTCCCAGAGTGTTTCCTCTGATAGGAACACACTGTGCTCCACTGCTGGCCAATCCTTCATGACCAGAAAGCCTTCCCTTACCCATCCATCTTCTTCTGGCAAAATGTCTTCTCTGGCTAACACACTACCAAGGCTTCCCACTACCATAGCCGGGGCTTTTCATGGAATTCCAGGGTCTTTCTCCCTTAATATGCACAGAACAGGTGGGCACCCACCTGTGAACACATATTCCTTTTATTGTCCCTAACCCCTTTCCATCTGAATTCCAGGAAGTTGAGATGGAAGGCCTTGCCTCTCTTGCATTCCGCTCCACACCTTAGCAGCTTCCAGAGGCTGTCTCCTTGCCCTCCCTAAAGTCCTTCCCACATTTGGATTCTAGAACAGAGGCGACCAGTGGATGAATTTTTCTGTCCAAAATTCTCTCCTTGTCTGTGATCCCAGGTGGCAGTGGAACAGAGTTCAGTGCCTGCACCCCCGCGCCAGCCTTCTGAGTGGCTAGGACACGTTCAGCACCCGGGTGCCCATGGACTTCACTATGGGCCCCATTATGTTTCCACCTTCACACAACCCACACCTGGCTTCCTCCAGCCCAACCCAGCACACCCACTGCGCGGTCTCCAAGCTCCCGACGGTTCCTCCGCTCCCCGCCCGATCCCGCCCGATCCCCGCCCGATCCCCGCCGGATCCCGCTAGCTCCCCGCCCGATCCCCGCCCGATCCCGGCCCGATCCCGCTCGCTCCCCGCCCGATCCCCGCCCGCCCCCCGCCGGATCCCGCCCGCTCCCCGCCGGATCTCCGCCCGCTCACCGCGGGATCCCGCCAGCTTCCCGCCCGCCCCACGCGCGATCCCGCTTGCTCCCCGCCGGCTCCCCGCTGCCAGCCCCCAGGCGCCCGCAGCCCGGGTCCCAGGCCACCGCCCTGTCCCCCGCGCCCCGCCCCTCCCTCCGCAGTCTGGGTAGACCCAGCCGGGCCCGTTCCCCGCTCCGGGCCGCGCCTCCAGGCCCCCCACGGCCATCCCGCCCGCCGGCCTCGGGCTCCGCGTCCCTTCCGCTCCCAGCTCCCGGCTCACAGCCCGTCGCCCTGTTCCTCGGTCCCCGAGCAGCACCCAGAGCTGCCCAGCGCCCCTCCCCTCGCGGCCCGCACCCCCGTCCCGCACCGTCTGGCTCAGTCCGTCCCTACGTGTCCCCGCCCGCAACGCCCCGAGTCCCCCAGCGGCCGCTCGCGCTCCCCCACCTCCCGCCGCCCCTGCCCTCGGAGCAGCCCTCGGCGCCCCTCCCCGGGCCAGCGCCTCGCCCCGGCCGCGGTGCCCCTCCGCAGGCCTCCCGCCGCCCTGCTCCTCGGGGTCCCTCCCGCCGCCCGCGCCCCTGGCCCCGCTCGCCGCCGCCAGCGCCCCGATTCCCTCCAGGAGGGGAACCCGGGCCGCGCCCCTTACCTGGGACTCCGGGCGCGGGACGAGCGGCTGGCCGCCGGCAAAGCAGCGGGGCTGCAGATCGGGCGGCCGGGGGCGCAGCGGGGCTCGCGGACCGGGCGGGGCGGGCGCCCACGGCGGCTACTTCGGGCTGAGGCGCTGGCGACTGCGCGGAGGCCCCGCCCACGGCCGCCCAGGCCCCGCCCACGGCCGCCCGATGGGGGCGGGGCCCGCGTCCGGCCCGCCCCGCCCCAGGCTCGAGCTGCCGCCAGGTGTAGGAAATCCGTGGTACCTTGGGCCCCCGCCCCCCACCCCGAGTTCGCCGATATCTGGGCGACTACTGTGATTTGTCACGTCTCATCCCGCAGACTGAACTTACGACGGTGATCAGAGAGCTTTAATAATAATGTAGATGATGACGGGGACCTGGCTTTGCCATTGCCCAGGCACTCTCCTGTCATGTCGCTTGATGCTCACGAAAGCCCAGGGAGAAAGGCCGAACTGGACCGCTGACTACGGGAAGAAATGCGGTCAGAAACCTGGGCATTGTCCTCTACCTTAAGCACTCCTTTAGGTCCCGCAACCCATCGATCCCCTAATAATATCTCCTTAAATATCCCACCCTGCCCTTCCTCTCTACATCCACGGCTCTCACTCTGGTTCAGGCCTCATCTCTTCTTACCTGCACTGCTGTAACAGCCTTCTACAGACCTGCACACTTGCACTCTCCAACTCATTCTGTACACCAGCAGCCTGAGCGATTGTTCTAAATATCACCATGTTACCATCAACCTTATTAAAACAAAACAAACCCTTTCAATGGCTCCCCTTTATTAGCAGTAGCTTGGAGTGAGAAAATGTTATTGCCTAGTCATTAGGAAGTCCCAGTTCTGTCAGGGGAGGCAGGTAGAGGAGGCAATTCGACCTTCCATCCTGGCTTGGACTTCACTTTAAGTCTTCCCAAGGTCACAGATATAGCTGCCAGGTTGGCTTAGAATCATCGTCCTCCCCCCCCCCGCCCCCCCCACTCTTCCTTCATTCCAAATCTTAGAGGTCTGAATCAGCTACCAAAACCATTTTTCCTCCAAGTGCCATTATGACCCTATCTGCAATTTGTCTCTCCAACCTGGGGAACTGCCCAATTCATAGTCTCTCTGGTTGTCTAACTTCTCTCTCCAACTTATCCTTATACGTTTCTGAGCTTCTCCATCCTCCTCCCACCCATTCACCTTCCCACTGCCCACCTCTCTAGCAGAACTTTCCACCTCTAGAACCCCCATTCCCTTGTCAATAAACTCTTCTACATCCTCTGCTTCTTCGGAGAGTTTTCAGGTTACTTCTTTGCCTTTTTTGAAACTTGACCCTCTTCCAAGACTCCTCTTGTAGCCCTCTGCGAGAAGGCTTCTCATTTTCCCACTCCCCACAAACCATAAAACTAGGAGGTGGAGTCAGCATTGCCACTTCTACCCTTATACAAAAATCCCTTCTCCTTTGCTCTTCAGTCATCCCACCTTCTGCTCCTCATCATCACAAACATCACTGACCCCCAATTACTCCTTATGCCTTGAAGATTTCGGCCCCAGGCTTGTGGTTATCCTCACTAGTCCCTGTCCTGCCAGCCTGGCTTCACTAGCCACGTGGCTTCCTGATCCCTTAGTCCTTGGTCTCCTCTTCACATCACTTTGCTCCCTGGCTCCCACAGTCACACTGGAATGTCTTACTGGCCCCAAACAAGTGCCTCTGTGATCTCAAGATCAAATATCCTATACAACCTGCTCCCTCACTCCCCATCTCCTACAAGACCCTAGTTTACTCCTATCAAAATAGGTGAGATGATAATGACTATTCCTTCTTTGCAGGAATAATGAGATAAGATACAAAATTATCCTTTTAAAGTTGTGAGGCAATATAAGAACAGATGGTGTCGTGTTTATGTAGCCTTGGATCTTCTGATTACTTTCTCTTTCTCCTTCCCCTGGAAGGCCACATTGTAAAATGGAAGGAGCACAGACTTGGAGCCAGCAAGATCGGGTTTCCAACCCTTGTTCCACCACCTCCTCACTCTGTGATCTTATGCAAATTACATAATTTTTCTGACATGCACATACTTATACTCATTTGTAGAAATAACAGTAATGAGAGCTACCTCCCTCCCAGGGTCATTGTAAAGACCAAATAAGAAAATGAGATAGCTACTGGAACCCACTTGATAGTCAGGCACATAGTAAACATTCAATAAATGGGGAACATTGTGGTTATTATTTAAAAATGCTATTTTTAGTCACAACTGCCTTCCAAGAAGGATAGACCCTAATGTATAGAAGGTCCTTTGTCCTACTCAGGGCCTTGAAGAATGTGGCTATGTGAGGGTGGGAGGAGGAGGAACACTATATTGTTTTGGCTAGGAAAGGGAGGAGAATTTAGAATTCACTTGGCAAAATAGGAGGGAAAGGCAATAAAGAGAACTTGGAAGGGGAAAGAAAAAAGATGAGTAGGAAAATGAGTGTAAGGGTTGGGCTACATGGGTAAAAGGTCAGAAGAAACTGTTCCATAGCAGGTGGACACAAGAGTGTTTAAGCTCTAGAATGCATAATGGGATACATTGTCATATGTATGATGTGACCACCTTCTGCCACTCTTGAGACTTTAGTAAAGGCCATTAAACTTAGGAATGCTTTCTGTGGGGAGTACTGAGGATGAGTGAGTAGTGAAATTGTGCAATGTTTTTCTGAGTTGAAAAAGAAGACTAGAGGCAGAGACTATGAGAACACAGCCCTCGAAGAATTTACAAAAATTTCCAGGAAGGCTTGGAACTTATAAGCGTTATAAAATGTGAAAATTGAGGTTCAAGCCCAATGCATTTAGATCTTAAGGGGACAGAGAGGCCACTTCTGACACTTGAACTACATATCAGTTATGTCCCCCAGTAGCTATCTCCCTATTGACTAGTAGGTTACCACCAGATAGAACAAATCAAATTTTATTTAATTGCCTTCACTTCCAGATCTAAATGCCCAAATAAAAACAGAAAAAATATTTTACTTCCAAAACTCTACCTTTTGCCTTGGATCAGATTGATTAATAGCTACGATTATCAAGGGGCACCTGGGTAGCTCAGTCGGTTAAGCATCTGCCTTTCGCTCAGGTCATAGTCTCAGGGTCCTGGGATTGAGTCCTGCATGGGCTCCCCACTCAGCAGGAGGTCTGTTTATGCCTCTGCCACCCCCCCCAACTCATGGTCTCTCTCAAATAAATAAATAAAATCTTAAAAAAAAGATACATATATATATATAACTATAACCACTAAGACCTTAAAATATGATGGGTTCATTCATGTCTTTTATCTCATTTAGTCCTCAATACAATCATACAATGTTTCCTGTTTTATAAATGAGGAAACAGAATTCAGAAAATTTAAGTGACTTGCCAAGGGTGCATCTCTGGTAAATGGCAGAACCAGATACCAAGTCTGTCTGATTCCAAGTCTAGAACTCTTTCTATTAAACTCCAGAATTGTGGTTGTTCAGTGAATACCACTGTGATTAAGAGTCCTACAAACAAAATTCCCTTAAATCTTTTCTAATTCCCAGAGTAATCACCTTCTCCAGCTCCTGATATTTATATGAAATATAAAATTGATGCTTCTTATTGAATGAGAATAGTCATTTAGTAGCATCATAAGGGTGGATATCATTTGGAATGTTCAAATCTTTACAAAGTTCAAATCCACATCCCAGTATGAGTCCCTCAGGTTAAGTGTTTTCACCTGACCCCTTCAGAGGCTGCCTCATGAAATGAGGGAACTTAAGCAGGTGCCAGAAGGTCACCAGAACCTGTGAAGCAGCTCTAGAAACAGGGCTCAATGAGAGAAGTAGCAGAACACAGGATGAGAAGAAGCAGGGGCCAGATGATCTTAAGACCTTGTGAATCCCGGGCAGCCAGCGGGCTGAGCGGTTTAGCACTGCCTTCAGCCCAGGGCGTGATCCTGGAGACCCGGGATGGAATCTCATGTTGGGCTTCCTGCATGGAGCCTGCTTCTCCCTCTGCCTCTGCCTGTGTCTCGGCCTCTCTCTGTGTCTATCATGAATAAATAAAATCCTTTTTTAAAAAACCCTCATAAATCATGTTTAAAATGCTGGAATTTACCTTGCAAGCAAAAGGCTTTAAGCAATGGAGTAACATCGCAACCTATGCATGTAACAAAGAATGCTCTGATGCTGGCAGGTATGACAAGTAGAACGGGAAGGGTAGGGAGCCGAGAGACAGCACTCAACACACACAGGGAGCACACGAGAGCTTGCTGTGACAGTCCAGGTGAAAGATGAAAAGTATCAGAACTCATGTCCTGGGGCACCTGGGTGGCTCAGTCAGTTAAGCGTCTGCCTTCAGCTCAGGTCAGGATTCCGAGTCCTCTGCCCCTTGGCCCGCCACTCCCCTGCTTGTGTGTGTGCTCGCTCGCTCTCTCGCTCTCTGTCATATAAGTAAAATAAAATCTTAAAAAAAAAATAGAAAAAGAAGAAGAGGGCAGGCCTGGTGGCTCAGCGGTTTAGCGCTGCCTTCAGCCCGGGGCCTGATCCTGGAGGCCCGGGATCGAGTCCCACATCGGGCCCCCTGCATGGAGCCTGCTTCTCCCTCTGCCTGTGTCTCTGCCTCTCTCTCTCTTTCCCTGTGTGTGTCTCTCTCTGCATCTCTCATGAACAAATAAATAAAATGTCTATTTAAAAAAAAAGACCTCTTGTCCTAGCAGTGGGGAAGTAGAGAGAGTTTTGATATGTACTTAGGAAGGATTAAATGCGAGCTATGAGGGAAAAGGAACTGCATGAACCATCAGGTAGGCCGGGAAGCTATTTACTGACAACAGGAGCACAGAAGTTGCTTACTGTTGCAGACAAACCACTCCCGAAAATTCGTGGCTTAAAACAGCAAAAATGGGGATCCCTGGGTGGCTCAGCGGTTTAGCGCCTGCCTTTGGCCCAGGACGCAATCCTGGAGTCCCGGGATTGAGTCCCGGGTCGGGCTCCCGGCGTGGAGCCTGCTTCTCC